CCTATGAGTAATTTTAATTGAACAACGAGAGTCAGTTATGGGTAACTACCGCGAGAATTCTAATTTGCGAAGTAAACTTATGTACATAGGAAAATAAAACGTACTCTTGCTATATGAGTAATTAATTATGAATATGACCAGAAAAATTATAAATCGGTGACTGTAATTAGTTATATATGACAAAACCCCTGCTCCTCTGATATTTGCCTAGTGCATCTGTTGTAAAGGGTGGTCGCTTTAGAATAAAAAAAATATTTTTTCTCGAATTTGTATTGTCTACAACATAGGGAAATTTATGTACCGCTTCATAGCGAACGTTAACGAAAGTATGCCTGGCGATAACCAGAAAAGTATTGTGGAAAGCGAGCGTGGTTGCCACGATCTCTTGGGACCTAAAAGTTTCGTTCCGTTCTGTTTAAAGCCGAGCACGTGACAAAAATGCAGGGTTACTATTCGTTTAAAAGGGTACGCAGTTAGAAGATCGGTTAGTGCTGTGACGCCCACTTGTGTTTAGGACACGAACTTATAACGGGTGATCAAATACGAAGTACTTTTTCCAATAGGGATTTAAAACACTTTAATCAAGATAGCTGTCATGTGCATATGTGTTTTTTGTTCATTATTAGTTGACATTTCACCATGAACAGACTTGAATTATTTCCAAAATCAGTGTTTAGTAAGAAATGTTTTTGGTGCTCTTCGGCCATTTTATGGTGCTCATAATCGTCCAACTGACCGCATAATGAAAGTAAAAAAGTAATCGTAAACGATTTACATAAAGCGCATTTCCACTTGCATTCATTTCCCATTTGTAAAATGCAACTTCTGTTAAAATCGTAAAAATCCGGCCACAAATATGAAAGATAGCGTTGCACATGGGCAATCCATTGTTGACGTGCTACTTCAATTTCAGTTTATGAGAAGAATTTCATTTCAATGCTTTTCTAAATAAGAAAGTTGGAACTGCGCATGCGCAACCTAAATTTTGAAACTAATGTTAGATTTTCCTTTGTTCCAAGCGCCAAAGTATCAAATTTCACTTAAAATAGATAAAAAAGTTGGCACTGCGCATGAGCAAAATAAAATTTTGAAACTGGCGCTAGATTTTCCTTTATTCCAAGTGCCTATGTATCAAATTTCATTTAAATTCTTCCATAAATAAAAAAGTTTGGCACTGCGCATGCGCAAAACCAAATTTTGAAATTGGCGTTTGATTTTCCTTTATCCCAAGTGCCTATGTATCAAATTTCGTTTAAATTCTTCCATTAAATAAAAAAGTTGGCACTGCGCATGCGCAAAACCAAATTTTGAAATTGGCGTTTGATTTTCCTTTATTCCAAGTGCCTATGTATCAAATTTCATTCAAATACTTTTATAAGTAAAAAAGTTTGCAATTCGGTTTATAAATGGTCGAGATGCGAAAAGGGCACTGTGAATTTTGAATCGATTCGATTCAACTTTTGGCATTGCGTATTATATGGCTAAAGCTATGCCCATATTGAATTTCATGCAATTCAGTTCATAACTAACGGAGATGTAAAAGCGATCGAACATTTCTAAACAAAGTTATCGTTCACACGGACAGATAGATGGACAGACAGACAAAGGGACAGACCAACCGGCAGGCGACAGATAGCAATGCAAAATTATAAACGATCTCTAGGATCGTTAATAAACGGCAAAAGTGTAAAATTATGGAACATGTAAAAAACGGTTTTTTGTTTTTTTTACAATAACTTTTTTTGTAAGCGGTACAGAAAAAAGGTACAGAAAAAATTCCTTCCTTGGTGCAAGACTCGACACCATAACGAACCAAATAGCGAAAAAAGTAGAACAATAGCTCTTAAGATAAAAAACTAGTAGCGTCGCAAAGTTAGCGGACGGACGGACGGACGGGCGGACGGACGGGCGGACGGACGGACGGACAAAGTGGCCACAATAGCGCATTTTTTTTTATTTTTGTGGAAATGCGCTAAAAATGGTTCCCCCTTGAATCAAAAATTGACGGGTCCGAGGATTTTTTCGTAAAGGTTATGAGGTTCTCAAAATAGGCTCTGTTTCGTTTTCAAATGGCCACCCTGTATAAGAAGGACATTAGGAGGCGTCAGAGAGGGGCATGGAAGAATTTCTGTAGCTCTATACAATATTGAAGTACAATTCCGCCTTATTGCGCCCCTGTAATATATTACCATTTAACTTTGTTTATAATAGGTGGCGTGGCAATGCATTTTTCCATTGTTAATGTTATGCGCTTTGTATGGAAGTAGAGCAGTTCATTGTACTGTACGTTTTGATATGTTTTGGTTGCATTTCCAATTATACTTTAATGAGAAAACTCGGTGTTAAGTTATTTTCGCCTGAATGGCATTCTATATACAATCCCTCTCCTCGATATCTCGCCTAAGTAAAATCCTTACAAAAGATTCATACCACAACCCAGCTAGCCTAAAAAGAGAGGATGGTTTCCTATACGGACAGCCTCACAGAGACAGCTGATGTACTAAGAGACGCTCACTTTCCTGGAGCCACCACCACGCCATACCCCAATCTGGCCTGAGGCAATCCCCTTCACTCCCATGGAGAATGACTGGGTGGTTGCCTGTCAGATGGTGGACGTGGTGAGGGTGAGCTGGGCGGTGAAATCATTCTCAGCATACAAGTCGTCCAGTTTGGACTGCGTAATACCGGCTCTCCTGCAATGGGGACTGAATGATATTGCTACCTACCTAATGGGAATATACAGTGTGTCCCAGATTGCATGGGTAACTTTCAATTAAAGATAGAGAATTGGTTAAATGGACAATGTTTTGCAGTTTTAGATGCTTATTTAAAATTTCCTAATGTCGAATAGGTTTGGCATAAATTCAAAAAAACTAAAAATTGGTCATTTCCTTTAATGTCTTATAATTGTTATATCATCGAAAGTATACGAGATACAAAAAAAGTTACTGTCTGCTTAATTTAAAATTGATGTAAAAAAAATTCAAGATGGCTACTTTTGAGGAACATTTACCAACTTTCTAAAGTTAAATAGGCGCCATATTGGATTTTTAGATTACTTGATAGATTTTTTAATTCTCTTTTCAACGAGCTATCATAGTATAAGATTGAAAATAAAATACCAGTTATATCAACGGTTTTTATATTTTAATCAAGTAGTCTGTGCTGTGATGAATTAAAAAAAAACAATAGAAAATCTATTCAAGGCAACAAAACAATGAAAATAATTACATCCGATGTTTAAAATATCAGGGACGCACTCATGGGTGGAGGGTTTGGGCGTTACAACTCTCTCCAACATTTTATATAAGTATAGTTCTAGAAAAATTTTGACTTTTATGACATCACTTATTGGCTATCCTATTATCCATATTTACATACCTACAAAATGGTGGTATAACTACAAACAATCCCCTAAAAAAAATGTCATGCCATTATCCAGTTAAACACATTTCAAGACACTTCATTTAACCAATTCTCATCTCTAATAATAAGAAACCCTCGATAAAAAACTGAATTGGAGCAAACGTATCCAGCTCAAAGCCGAAAACGCAAATAGGGCTTTCTGGCAAAATCGCCGCGACATTGGCAGACTTTGGGGACCATCCTCGAAGGCTGTCCTGTGGCTGTACACTGCCGCGATTAGACCTATGTTCTGTTATGGAGCAATTGTCTGGTGGCCTAGAGCCAGACTCACCACAGCCGTAGCACTCCTTAATCATGTGCAAAGACTAGCGTGCCTTGCCTGCACGAGTGCGATGCGAACGACCCCCACAGCCGTCATGGAGGCCCTCTTGGATCTGCCTCCACTAGATCTCCACGTGAGAGAGCAGGCAAATGCAAATTCAACCTAGTACATTCTTACCATCCTTAGCAGCCACATTTTTTTGAGTGAAAAGTTCCAATCAAACGTTACTTTGATATTAATCATTGAATTTAGAGAATCAAATTCTATCACATTCAATTTAAAAAACATAATCATGCCATTTCAAATATTCAAATAGTTAAATATTAGTAGCTCCCAAAAATAGTAACTTAAAACATTTTAATTATGGTCGTTTTGTTGAATGTTTGCAGTCATTAAATATGGTTTTGTTGCATTGAACTGTTCTCAAAAATGCATTCAAATACAGGGGGTTTTATTTAAAAAAATGTACCATTTTGGCGCCCTACTTTGTGGGCGCACCCTGTATAATTCCAAATATTTTTAAAATGTGGAGAATATTCAACCATATCATAATACAAGAGCACTCTATCAAAAAATCTTATCTTCAAGGCATTAAATTACTCCGCCCAACCGTTGATTTGATTTGATAACCGCATGTGTGTGATTTAAAGATGTTAAATTATTTTTCTGAGGCCACATTGATTTTGATCAAAACATGTCAAAATCGTTTTTTATGCACCAAGATCATTGGGAAAAAGACCAAGAGCATTATCTCAATGACCAAAATTTGAACCGAAATAGAGACCTACATGTATTAATTAACATATTAGTTTTTAAGCTAATGATTCCTTAAAAATTTCTCCAAAAAATCTAAAATAATGCAAGAATAGTTGCCTACTTCATGCAATATTTCTTCAAGAGTTATTTTTATAAAAATGGCGCAACCTCGAACCTGATAGTGTACATAAATGCTGGGTACTAAAAGTATTAGGCTTGCAACATTCTTAATAAAAAATGTCCACTACAACAAACTTGTAAGTTGAGTAACATACAAAAGGAAACAGGAAAAAATTAGCATTCAACTAAAATGCTAAAGTTATGCAAAAACCAACCAAATATTTATTATACAGCTAATTTTAAATGTCCTTCAATTCCATTGTTGGTTTATACATCCCACATGCATATTAATCAAGGTAACTACAAACGCATAAGAAAAAGTAATTTAGTATAGGTACCTCAGAAATTGTTTTTTTTTACCTGTGTAGTATCATTTTTCAAATAATGGTACTAGGTCAATTAATTAGGTAATATAAAAATAAACAACTGGACTTACCGATGCTATAACACCCCCAACAATAGCAGCATTACGTTTATGTTTGTTTGATATTTTGTATCTTGTATACAACTTTCTTCCGACCCAAACTGGAATTCCTACAACACAAACTTAACAAAAAATACACACACGAATAAACAATTACCTATGATCATTGCGGGCACTGCGATACCAGCGATAAGGGCAATACCAACAGGCGCCCCGACCAATGTTCCGAGTTGCCATAAAATCTTTTTCTTGCGCGACCAAGGTTTCTTGCCCCAAAAAGTACAGCCTGACGGACTAAAACGGACATGAAAATTCCAAGGTGCCAAAATAAATGATACACACCTAAGATAATGTAAATCACTAATTTCTTTCATGCACAGCCAACAAAATTCGGCACCACAAACGGCACACATCATATGATTGCAGGAACCGTCGTCCATTTTCACTATCAGCACTTGACATCGTGGACACGGTTTGATATCATCTCCTTAAATTGTTCGATTAGTAACAGGAAGAAAACGGTCAATAATTTGTAGACTTACGATGTTGCGAATCTTGACTAAAACTAATTGAAGATGAGCGAACATTTGGTGATCGTTGAGCACGAGCTGCATCACAGGTTTGATTGGGATGCCATTCCGCTTTACAGTGGTAGCAGAAGTACGAGTTACATCCCGGTCTTTCACATTTGAGTTTTGGACAACTTGCACAACCACTTGCAATGACTGCAAATCTGGAAGCAAGTGCGTAATTTACAATTAAAAATGTTTGATATGACAAGTAAAAGCATGAGCAGACCAATACCACGATATTCATACAGAATTATATGGTATCATTTGATATAAAGCTACTACAAAGTCTATATGCAAATACTTTGTGCAGCAAGGGGAACATATACAATAATTTTTAGATGTGTTACCTGAGTAACCTTGAGGTTATTAATTTATTATTATTTAATATATCAGTACTACCTTGCTAGTTTACAGTTGAGGCAACACTATTTCAAATATCTTTCAATTGTTAATTATTTGTTTCTTTTGTTCTGTGTTAAATTAGTTATTTTGCCTTTTTTTTTGTAGCCCCTTGTGGCTTTTCTAACTTAGTATATATCACACCCACCTAATATTTGCCGGCCTGTATGGCACAGTTCAGTTAAAGCTGGACTGTGGTGCTAAGGGTCCCTGGTTCGAATCCGGGTTCGGGCATGGATATTTGTAAATGTATAGTGGGTTGGGTTGGTAGAGGAGCCTTGGCTGAAACCCCGCCCACTCAAAAATAAAGACAAAAAAATATGATGGCCATGACTTTTCACCTCGAGAAAAGAAGAAACACATTGTTTGCCATTAAAGCCTAATGAAATCTTTTATTACACAAAATTTCACATGAAAAGAGTTATTCTAAGGTACTATTCTCGCCTGGAGTGGCTACTACTACGTCGTAACACAATCATATGGTATAATATAAACAATATAAAAAAATGAAAAATAACACATTTTGATTAGGAAATTTACTAAGAGGTGGCGCTAGCGAACGTTATATTATTTAGTAAGAAGTAGTCAAATGAAAGTGAAATTCATGTGGTTCAAAAACCGTAGTTTGCAAGTGGGAATTAATCACTTATACACAAAATTGTGCTAAAAATAGTACACTTTTTTGTATTTTTTGTTTCAGAAATTAGTTTTCTTATATGTATTACATACATTACATGTTTCTACTATTTCACAACTTTCTCAAATATAGCTGTTTCCCACGCTAACAACTTATCAATTACCAAAAAAAAAAAAACTTTCATTCAATTGCTCTGCTAAACAAGACCGAGTTCATTAAATCAAACAAATTAAATTGAAGAGCGCAAACTAACATGAACTAGTAAAACCTATTACAAATTTGAACACCTGCCCACTCCCACAGAGTAAACAATAAACTTAACATCATGATTCATGATTTTAACTCCTACACATGGATTCTAATATTTAGATTTAGAACTTTATACACTCTATTAATCAATAAATGACTGGTGATTTGCATTGTCAAATTTAAGTTGACTTCAAGCATAAAATCCTTGGAGACAATGAAAAAATGCTTAAACTTGTCGAAGCAAACAGTCATTACTGATGAGCACTTATTTTATTTAAATGTCCGCAATTAACATTGAGATCATTCGACAATTTCAACAGTCACATAAATTATTAAAGCTTATTATCATTCAATTGAACTGGAATTGACACGCGTCATTAATACCTGAATTTAAAACGTTGTGTTACCATCAACAGTCTTAATGCCAAGTTTATTGATTTACTTTACTGTAAAACTGCACTCGCTTTTGTAGATAAAACTTGATCGTATCTCAACAGAGATGCAAGTATAATGTAGATATTGTGCTTTTCATTCATTACGTAATAAATTCTGTTCAGAGACAATTTGCTACCAAATTTAGAAGAACCCTTGCTGATCACAGTAGATTACTGGAAATCACCTGCGCAAAAGCAAAGAGCACATTTACACTCAATGTCAATGTCCTTATTTGTTGTGTTGTCAAATTAAATTTCCGAGATCAACCATGGTCAATGGGCCCATTTTTTGTGGTTCAAATTACTTGCATTTTCAAAGTCATCCAAGGTGAATGAGCTCCTTTTTGTGGTGTCAAATTACATTTCCGAGCACGGCCAAGATCAATGAACTTATTTTTATGGTGTCAAATTATATTTTCAAGGCTATCCAAAGTCAATGGCCCAATGTTTTGCAGTGTCAAAATGAATTTTAAGGTCATCCAATGCCAATGACTGTCGAATTACATTTTCACATTTTTAAGGTAATGTGCACAGTTTTTGGTATCAAATTACAATTTCAAGGGCATTAAAGGTCAATTTTCCCATTTTTGTAATTACATCTTATTGTTTCCGAGGTAATTAAAGTTCAATGATCTACTTCAAAGCCAATGGACTCATTCGCAAGGTTATCCAAAATTGTGGTGTCATATTTTACCTTCAAAGTAAGAGGGCAATGACAAAAATGATGCCATTGAACTTGGAAATGTAATTTGACACTATAAACAATGGCCTTGACCTTAAAGAACTAATTTGACAGTACAACTCCTATGTTCAATGACTTGGATGACCTTGAAAATGTAATTCAAGTCCCACATAGACATGGAGTCATTGGCCTTGGATGCCCTAAAAATTGTAATTTTCCAACAAATTGAGCCACTGCTCTTGACAATCTAGTTTGACACCACAAAAAATTCATTGTGGAAATTTGACACACCCAAATTCTAAATAGAAATTTTTACTACATGTAGTTCGTGCTCTCACAGAAAAAAATCTTTATATCGAGTCATAATTATGTACTTCTGGCAATCGTAATTCCGAGGTGAACATTAAAATACAAATAACAATCTAACTCAGTGAGAAAGTTCCGACATACACAACTCCTGGAAGATAATTTTAAATCAAAATTTTGTTTTACAAATCAAATCCGTGAGGCAAAAGTTAAAATGGTGATGTAATTGACTCATCTAAATCAACACACTAACCGCTAACTAATATACTTCCAGGTTAGTCAATTAATTAACCGCCTATGTTAGATAGTCAATCAATAATTACTTATTGAACGATTAATTGACCAATTGAAAGTGGAATTGTTGAAGACTGTTTGTTTCCTTAAATTCCATGCCGCGTGGTTTATTCGTAGTAATACTTTTAGTTTTGAGACTAACAATTTATTATTTCAGAAATAAACCTTCAAAACGGTATGCTACTAAAGAGATGACATTAGAAAATCGCGTCATTGGTAAAAAGGCTGTGGTTCGATTTCTACCAGGACGAAAAGAGGAAGATCGACGAACAAGTTGGGCGAAAGTTGCGACGTTCAACAACCAGCTGGAACGATACACGTTGATGTTTTTAGAAAAAATAGATTCTTGAAATTCATGACCTGATTTTCTGTCAAGGTTTTTGTCCTGAAGAAGGTTTCCCTGGTTGTTTGCGTAACATATTTTACATGTTCTTGTCTTTTCTTACGCACAAAATTATGAGTTTTTATTCAATTTCCTTTCTCATTTGTTAGTAGAAGATCGCGAGATGGACAACCTGTTACAAATAACTACCGAAACATTTTTTTTGTAATTAGTCAATAGAAGTTGTACTGCACTGTCTGTATGACTGCCTACATAAAATTGTAGCCACGGATCTATGCCCCTGTGTCATTGATTTTTGAATCAATTTCAGACCTACACAAACATACGCTAAAACACTGTAACATCTATTAAAAGTGCAAAATCGATCAAAAACTGGTCTGACATTGATTCACAAATCAATGACGCAGTGGCACAGATCTGTGGCTACAATTATACGTATTCTCTTCCATTGATTGCATTATGCTATGTAAACATACTTAATGATGACGTCGTAATACACCTATAGCTACTATATATATTATACCACAGCTGACTGCCATTTTGGAGCCCACTGACAATTAACGCTTGCCAAACGTTGCATTTCCTGCATGTATTGTCTTATCATTTGAAGAAATACTATTGCTTTTTTTAACGTTTATTAATACATAAAGGTATTTAAGGTAAGATTTTACACAATAAACAGTTTTTCTGTGCACAAATTTGGGCTGTCAATGGGCTCCAAAATGACAGACGAGTCTGCTTACCGTAATCAAGTACTGTAATACACCAATGACGTGTGCGCAAATTAAAGAAAACCTTACTATATTTTACCTATTCAAGTTCCTATTTTTATTGCACTTATCTTTCTTGTTTGTTATTAGGCTTTATTTATTACTTATATCCGAGTCCCTATGAAGCTTTTTTGTCCAGTTTCTTAATGTCTTCTGCTGTTAATGTCTAAAACCCCAATTAGTTCTTTGGCGAAAAAATTGGGCTGCCACTTTTATTTGAGTCATTTATGATCAATATATTTTGTCTACTAGTTTTTCCGATATTTAGATTTGCACCGACTAACGGCCACTTACCTCAGGGAAAGTGAAAGTGTCATTTATTTAATTTTGAAAGATCAATCACGAATGTCTATTGTCACTTGGGATTTAATCACACAGATGTGGATAATGTAATAGCGTCTAATGGGACAAAGGTGCAATCCTGCAGTGGTCTAATAATACTCGCCTTTTATACTTAAAAATAAATTCATACAAATTTGGTATGTGCCAATATCACATCTCATACAATTTGTAGTATTGAACAGTTTTGCTATATATTTCTGTATGAATACCAATGTCTTACTCTGTTTAATTACAATGTACCTACCTGCAATCAGGTGCCGGACACCACCTAGTATCAGGATCCACCGCCAACACTCTTCTAACCATGAAATCTTCATACTTTTCATACAGCACACTATCATTTACAATGTTACGAATCTCTGAAATGACGAAATTTATGTTCTATTGTCATAATACAATAAATCGCATGTATTAAATAAGTTAAAAGATCTTTACTACAGTCATTTACCATTGGGATGTAATCTCTCCAAGCATTCAGGGCACGAAATAGAAACTCTCGACTCGGTTATTTCGACACGAAGATACTGCTGCAAACAAGGCAAACAAGAGCGATGCCCACATGCCATGATTTCGCATAATTCTTCAATGGGAAATTCGGTAAGACATAATGGGCACTCCATCGGCAAAGTCCCATCCCCACTCTATAAATTAGATTTTAATACCGATTTGGGGACAGGCAACTGTTTACTTTTGTACTGGTGGTTAAGACTGACGTTCTACTGTTAGCTTCGTGAAGTTCTACATTGTGTCCAAGTCCGCAACTATGGAGCTCACGTTCCACATCACGAGAATGTTCTGAACGTGTATCGGCCATATCTTTACTATTCCCTAAAAATGAATATATTAAACATAACTGAATTCATACGATTATCATACAATACAAAGCTTATTTGCTTTATTAGGTACCAATAAAAAGTCATTCTTTTTGCAACAAACATAATTATGTAATTATTTTAATTCGTCTTCACAACTAAAGTAAGCACTTCCTCACTGAGTAATGTAATTGGTGTTTATTATAAAGTTGCGCGTACTAGATTTGCAATTCTTTTTGTTTGTGATTCCTCAACAAGAAAGAAATGTAGAACATTTACTATAATAAACCATCTGCCCAAGTTAGCCTTTGTTGCAATTAACGGCAAATTGTTAAACATAAAAAATTGCGCAATTTAATGAGATTTAATTATCATCGCGTGTAACTGTAATACATCCAAATTCACTGGCTTGTAGAAGTTACGAATAGCATAATTAAAATATGTAACGAAGATAGTACCTGATAACATCGCGCGCGTGTCCTTTCCTATTTATTTTCAACACATCTTTTCACACTATACGATTGCATAGTTTAGAAAAGTTTATTCGAGGTATCTGTTATTTCCGAACCATTTAAAACACAATCACTGACAAGTGGCTGTTGGAATGAAGTGTGATTGAATTCTAAGATAACCAAAATGATAAAAAATTACATCAAATGCATAAGGTTGGTTGCACTTAAAATTGACAAACACCCGTATTTATAGTCGGAAATCGAGACCTTTGCTTTTTCAATTCATGACAGAGTTGTGTACTACTCCAAACATGAGTCTTATATAAACTAGTGAGTACAGATTGGACCTATGATTAGATTATCTTATCGTATGTTTTTTTTGTGGCAAGTATATGCTTTTTATGCAAGATATTTAATGAAAATCGGAAATTATGTTCGTTTTAGAATTATTTTATTACAATACCTGAATGCCTACACCAAAATACCATTTATAAAAAAAACGTAGAGCTGGACAGAATGCTTTGAAACAGTATTTGAATACTAAACACTTTTGCGTCTAGTATGAACTTACTCAAATACTTTAAAATGTATTCCAATACTATCAAAAGTATTTCATTACTTTGAAATGTATCTAAATACTTTTATTGAATATTTAGATAGTTCTCAAAGTATTTGAATACTTTGTGAAGTATTTGAATAAGTACTAAATATTTGTAAAAGTATTTGAGATAAAAATACAAATACTGCTTCCATAAAAGTTTTACACCGTATTTTAATACATTTTTTGTATTTTTTTTATTTTAACTAAATTTGAGAGGTTTTTTTTATTAAAAAATGATAAAAAAAGGCGCAAAATATTGAAATTTATTTTTATTTTTTATGTCTTACTACCCATGTAAGATCGAAAAAAGTAAAAACTGCCTATGTGAGATAGAAGCCAGTGGCGTAATAAAAATTTTTTTTTTGCACCACCGTTTCTGAGATTTGAATCAAAGGTGGTTTTTTTTTCTAATGCAACACCCTGTATATTTAACGTCAATTTTTGCAATCTTTTTCTTGATTACATTAATGTAATTATCAATCACAATCTATACTTTTTTATATGATTATATGGTATACAGTGTCCCAGAACGCGTGGGATTGCATGGGTAACTTTCTTATTATTAAAGACAGAGAATTGGTTCATGGACAATGTTTTGCAGTTTTAGATACTTTCCTTTTGGAAATTGAAAATGTCGAATAGGTTCGACGTAAATTTAAAAAAAAAACTAAAATTGGTTATTTCCTTGAATGTCTTTTTTGACGTTTTATTTTAAATTTTAATTTAATTAACATTTTCATACGAAGTCTATTATTACTATATACTTTCTTTTTTAAAAGAAATATCAAAAATTTTCGAGCGTTATTAAACGGAGGATTCAGTTGCCGGTAACCGAATAACTGGAATCTTTATCAATTCGCTAAAATAAATTTTTTTTTATTCTAAAATGAGCTGTTTATATGTACTTTGGATACTTTATTAAATTAAAATTGTTAAAAATGGATCATACGATAGAAGGGCATGACCTTGAATTTAATCCAACTTTTTTTAATAACATTTTGCTGTATTTTGTGAAATTAGAGTAATTTACTACCAATTTTTGGCGGTACATTATTTAAATTTTGATGCTTTGGGACTAATAAAAAAAGATTCGCATTTGTTACATACTTAAAAGACCACAGTGTATAATGTATTTTATGAACAATCATCGAAAATGAAGACATGGCTGCTCTCAAACAATTTTTGACCGAAGTAAAAATGACTGCATTTCTGTTGAATTAGCGCAGTGGTTCCAAAACTTCCTTCCATGCCGCCCCCTTTCCGAAAACTAAAATTGCCCACGCCCACCTTCTCCGATTAAAAAATGAAAACTGCTTTTACAACAAAAAAACGTATTTGCATTTCACGCATTTCTAAGAAATTGCATTTTTGACTTTTTTCGCAAAGGTGTAATATTTCCCGAGTTTTGGTTAAATTAATGACCTGTATCTAATATACAGGAGGGAAAGGAATCTATTGAAGAAAGCGTATTATTGTTTTTGATACAGGACACATGTTCTTGGAATCTGGTGGAGAATTTTCGACCGGTCTGGCCTATGTAGAATAATTGGCAGGAGTATCTTTTGGTGTGGGAGAAGGTTTTGATATTTTTGGTAGCTTTAAAAAACTAGATGAATATTGTATTTTTTGAAAATGTTTTTAAAGGAGTTGGATGATTGACCGATAAAGGGTAGGCAGAAAAAGGATTGTTTTTTTATCAGATAAGTGGGACAAACAAGTAGATTTATTAAAGTTGTGTTGGTAGAGGGATTTGTGTTGGCGTTTGGAGATAAGTTCTACGGGGTAATTGGCATTGGTAGCAATTTGATAAATGCATTTAGGTTCCAGATTAAACTGTACAACTAACTGCAAGTTAAATATTATTATAATAGACAGTAATTAAGAGAACAAAAATGCTTCCCCATGACAAAATCTGTTTTTACTACTCTTAATAATACAAACAGTTCTGTATCATGTTTATTTGCCAAAGTAAGTACAATGAACCTTATATCATTGTAAACAGAAAAAATGCACTTTTTAAAAATGTCTCAGCCACCTATAATTACCATTAAAAAAAATGTAAGTTTACGTTATAACTCAAAAATTAAGAAGAATAAATATTAATAAATGTATCTTATTAAGCGGAAAAAATCTACAGTTTTTGTTCTTTGCATATTTCTGTATTTCTAATACTAACGATTCTACAACAGGTAAATGTGAAACATCACTAAATCTGTTTTTCGCTCATATCTAGTAAACTGTGAATTTTTTTCAAAAAACAAAAGCATACCTTGAATAAGCTTTTAAAACGACAACTCTTTCCTCATTTAACTGAATTTAAATGTCCTACGGTTTCCGAGATCCTAATGCTTAAAATGAAAAAAACTCATCCTGTATGTATGTATGTATAATCGACCATTTTTTCAATTTTTCGAGAAAAATCATTTTTATAAAGTCGCACTTCGTTTCAAGTCCAAATGTTAACAAAAAGATCTGCGTGGAGCGACTTTTCAGAATCTTTTGAAAAATCTTTGTCGCAGTTTTAAGAAATAATTCTACAAAACTCAGAAATCTTATAAATGTTACTATAGAATTTACCAATATGATATTGTGGATTTTAAAAAGATATGTATGGGAACGAGACAAATTTTTGGTGTTTTTGCTGTAACAAAGTGTAATTTTTTCAAATCAATCTTGTCAATTGAGTGTCATAATTTTATTAGAAAGCTTTTACGAAACATTTTTAGTATTTTCAGAAATATGACCAGAAAACTTATTAGAAAACATCTATTTAAAACTTGAGCAGTCTTATTTTACCAGTAATCTGGCAGTACTGAAGTTCCCGTTTGAATACGGGTTCGGGAATGGACATTTGTAAACGTATAGTGGGTTGGGAGAGTAGAACGACCTTGGCTAAATCCCCGTCCACACAAAATAAAATAAATAATATTGAAAAAATTTTAACACAAACCTTTCTTGCGAACCAGAACTATTCTTATAAACTTACTTTGAAATTACCCTAGAAATCTTGAACTTTTTAGGAATCTTGAGTCTCCAGGAAAAGTACCTACTGTTACATTAGTCCGGACCTCTTAATTGTTGTACAGGTTTACGCGAATCTTCCTAAGCCTAACTAAAACATGGTAGATAAGTTGGGAGTTGTCAGAGTAACGTGACAACACAATGGGGGCATCCCGGCTTCATTTTTTATTTCTGATCTACAAAGTACATTCACAATAAAAAGACCCGTGTGTCCTCAATTTTTATTTGCGACCCAAACCCAAAATAAATCATTGAAAAGCTGTGTTTTTAGTCCGAATTTGAAACGCTTCAGTCTAAATACGTCATAAACCTACAACCAATCACGTAGAAGTGAGCCGGCAACCTTGTGCAAGGATCTGACGTTTTAAGAGACATGTTTAACTGCATCTAACGCGAAAGTGACAAGTGCCTGCAGCGACGTCGGAAGTATGGGTCAGAGGGGGCGAGTCGCCCTCTCAGTTTTTACACAGGGGGGGCCGCGCCCCCTCTAGATAAATCACTCAAAAGCGACTAACACGTCTTCTACTGCATGATGTGCATGCAGAAATTACAAAAAGTGTGGAAGTAGAGGATATACAGGGTGTTTACGGTCTTCTCTGTATCCTTATTTTAAGGGGCGGCAGTACAGCTCAAAACCCCAAAACATCTTAGTAAAAAATAATTTAAGTGGACAATGCTGATTGAGTAGTAACATTGCTAGATTTGTACACAGATTAATCATTTATTATAAAAAATAAAACAAATATTATCTCGCTTATTAAATAACTTTTACTAAGGTGTGGGGTTTGTCGACTCCTTTTGAGCTGTACTGCCGCCCCTTAAAATGATACAGAGAAGACCGTAAACCGAAAAGATTTGCCAGCAAAACTGCGGAAAAGCGGAAAGTTTTTGGATATATTTAATTTTGTATACTTGCTTTTCTTTACAATGCTCAATAGTGCAATAAATAGAAACAACATTTTTGTAACTTTTGTATGTTCTAGTTCTTCATTATTTTTTAAATAAAATATTAATGATCTATGGCTATGGTTTTCTCAATCGAGTCAAGTATCTCTGAGTTGCTCAGTTGCATATAACTAGACATCCTCCGACACTTTTTTTAATTTTTTTCAAATGTTTTCTTTCAAAAATACATTATTTGATTGATTAAATAAACAGGTTTCAGGGTCACTCAAAAACCCACTGCTTTGCATTAATTCGTACACAATTTTGCATGGGAGGGACCTTTCAGACTCCATGGTCGCTGATTTTTGCCCCCCCCCCCCCCCCCCCCAACCGTTATACACTTCCGACGTCGCTGAGTGCCTGTGGCAGGTGACGCAAGTTACAAATGACATTCTCCTGCAATATTGCCAAGTCGTTATGTCATCTGAATGGTTCTAGGAGCTGATTGGTCGGGCTTATTGCGTCACAGAGCCCGCCACAATCATATCGTTTTGAATAAACCCTTAAAACCGCACATGTTCATTATTTTTTTGATAATCAGCCTTTATTTTTAAATAAACTTTTACTGTCCAAAAAAATGTTTTATGGTTTCAGGTACACGCTTATTAAATTAGAACTACGAAATTCAACTATGCTGTAAACCCCCATTCAATCATTTTTTCTACTCTCTCGAAAAGGCACGTTGATCGGTCCGGTACTGTCCAATTCAATTTTTAAAGCGAGAACATTTTTATTATCGTCATAATTCATTTCAATACTACCTTTACCTTGACAGCACCCCGTTGTGTATAACAACACCCTTTGTTCGTTGGTACTGAATCCCATAAATAGATGATTATAGTTTCAAATATTGCTTGTAAATAAAGACATTACAACAAAATAGATAAACTATCTAAAATGCTATAAAAAAAAGTTAACCATTTGACAAATATGTTCAAGGATCTTTGCGTTATTAGTGACGCGACAATTCGGCTTACCAATGATGTAAGTAAATAGTAACACAATTGTATTGCCTACCTCTATTGTGATAAACCTACCTTGATTTTTGTGATATTTAGATGAGGTAGACATACTACGTGTAGGAGGAAATCTTCTTCCTACAATGGGACTCGCATACAAGAGGCGTCGCAGCGAGAATCTCGAAAACCCCCTTTTACGCTGCGCCGCAACACAAGGTGGTTCACCTTCCAGAGACTTCCTCATCTTCTTTTTTGAATAGTTTTCGACTCGGTTCTCCGGTTAATGATGCGATGCCTCCATATTCCAGTAGATTTGATAATTACGCCTGCAAAAAATTACGTACGTTAGCCCTCACATTAAAAAAAAGTTTGCGATTAATCACGACAACCTTCGATACACAAATTTGTAAAAATACCTTTACGTAGTGGAAAGCAATCGTGATACATTCCCAGTCATGAATTTTGCAAGGTCTATTGCACGATTGCAAAAAAAACGTACATTCCGATCTATGTATAATTTAAACGCTCATCGTCGATATCTGTTTTCTGTACAAAAAATGGAGGTCGATAATTTCACCAAAGTCCTTGTCCGCAAAATTATTATCGGCCTGCAACGTACGTATGTTTTTGCGGTAATCGCTCAATAACGTCACGGTATTATACATGGCTAATACCGTAAGTGCTACAAATAATTGCAAATCAACGTGACCTATTAAATTCCATTGAAAGAGTACTAAACTCGTACGAAATGAATTGGACAACTATTTTAATAAGGAGTGTCACGAAATCTCGGTTACTTTGACCTCAAATGACGGATTCATTTTTCACACGTAATCTCATACTCAATCTTTGGTAATGCCTAAATTCGAACTTTCCCAAACAAAATTTTTGGAGGGTGAAAATTTGTACTATCAGTGATGGTTATGCTCGTGGTTATGGCATTGGTCCATTCTCTTTATCATGGTTGCCGTTATACCCAACCTAAAATTTAACTTAAAAATGACACAGAAGATTGCAATGCCTGCTTGTATTACACAACTTTATTTACATTTTAATTGCGGAACGTGTCTACGAGAGCAAAGTGGCTGCTACATTTAAAAGTATTTTGCTACCACATTTCAATTTAACATTTACAGAGCGAGAACAGTAATGCAAATAAAAAACAATTTATGAATTACAGCATGAGCGTTTTGAATGTTAAAAACATAAGCCATTTATTTACGGGTACAGAGCAGTACGTTCGCATCAAAATATATCCAAATCCATTACCAAGTAGCTACTTACTGTCAGCTCGCATTGAGCAACTAAAATTTCTCATTTTTCCAAGAAAATTGCTGCATAGATCATCATTTTGACAACGGGACACCGAGTGGCAAAATTTTGATCCTGTAAGAGATTGCCATTTAAACTCATTTTTCGAGTTTTCAATGACCTTATCCTAATATTCCATGAGTATGTTTTGTAAAAAAATTCACAGATTTCGCAAATCCATGCAACCATCAGAGACATTGGAAATGAGAACCGTATAACGCCATATGTACAACACAAATTTCAATCGGATCATTTGCTCTACTCGCTCGCAGCCTCGCTCGTGTCGCAAACGTCATCCTAATCCTAATCCTAATACCTTTGTTTATTCGTATATCATTAGACGAGAAAAAAATCTTTCGATTGGTGTCATTATAAACCCTCTAAGTTAAGGTTTGGATTTAGAGAATATAGACAACGGGTGATGCACATGTAATTCAATGGGGCGTACATTGCCTCTGAACTTCATTCACCATTCCATAAGCAAGGGGTGTATATAATCGGAAAAATATACATTAGGTAGATAGATGTACAGAGCATAGTTTCCATACAATATAAACTGATATTTTGTCCATGTTTAAAAAATCTAGAAAACATGCGTCAAAAGAGTTCATACTTTAGGAATTAATTGCCAAAATTAGGGAGCATTTTAAGCAATACGAGTGTATGGGATCGATAGCGTGAATACTTATCTATATTTTGACAATTTATGTGAAGCTCAAAAGTTTTCATAAAAAAAGTGGTGAATGAAGTTCTGAAAAATGGGCATGTAAACTGGAGAAATTGAAATAAACTACGCAGCTGTGACTAATATTGCGGTCAACAGTGTAGCTTCTTTCTCACAGAGGGTGCCACCAAGAGTTTTATGAAGTCAGTAAATAATACGATAAAGATATGAAATAGGTAAGCGCTTTTATCTTGCGATGGAGTTGTTCTTACTTTTTAACTAGGCTAGTACTGTGTAATGGGGATAATAAAAGACAAACATTTACGAGCAAAAAAAACTAGCAGGCTATGTAAGTTGCCTATGTTAAATCATTTAGCGATTCTCTTTCAAGGTTGAACAGAGCGTGCGTGTGATAGTAGAATTTGCTGACAGTAAGAAAAAGATCGTTCACTGGTATATTTTTATTTTGTCAACTACTTGCTCCGAAATTTATTTGGTTTCTCTTTCCTATTCATTGCAAAAGGTACCTCCTCTACCTATCGCTTTATGAAATAAATAATAGAAATGGGGATAGGTTTTCTTTACAACAAATATCAAAATTTGACGTTATTTTTAGAACAAAGGGCTGTATATTGGTTGTTGATGTCTGGCAAGCTGCGACCTTGTGTGGGATTTATTTGTAATGCGATTTGTTTGACCGTCTTCCTTATTCTTTATCTTTGCTCACTGCAGATTAAAATACCGTAATTTATAATCCATACCTTGCTGCAAATTAAATTTTTTGAACTTCAATAGTTGAATAAAGCTCTTTATTCAATGATAGTACCTATTACATATTAGTATTAGTTTAGTGTAATGTGTAATAATTGACCTATACAGGGTGATTCAAATTCAAAGGCCACCTTGGGGATCTCTGTAAGAGATAGGTAGAGGTAGTTTACATTTGACAAAGTTACCCTTGATGGTAACATCATCTATTTTTAATAAGAAATAACGTTAATTCGTAAAAACGCAAGAAACTACTTACGTACGTTAGTTAAGACAAAGGCAAAAAAAGTTATTTTTTAAAAAAATTGATGTGTACATTTTTAAAATCAGAAAAAAATTCTCTATCAAATGACACAAAAAATAAAAATTACTTCCATAAGAAACAAAGTTGATGATAGTTAACCGGCGACGAAACGTCAAACTTCAAATTTAAAAGTAGCATCTTGTAGAGGGAAAAAGTGGCCATAATAATGTGTCATTTATTATTAAATATCTTTGTATATAACTTCAGTAAAAAACAAAAACGATTTTCAAAATTTCGTTTTTTCCGGATATCTCCGAAAGTAAAAAGTTGTCAGAATTTTCAGTTTCCTCTGTTTCAAAACTGTTTTTGTTAAGCATCATAATACACAACTTTGCCAAATTTACTACCTACCTATCTCTTACAGTTCCCGAGATACCCATGGTGGCCCTCGAATTTGAATCAGCCTGTATATTACTAATTTACAAAAGACCATCCCTCGAATGTAAGACATGGGGAACAAATGTATATTTAGGTATAAACGGCTAAAAAATTAAAAAAAAATCGGTATACCGTATGTCCCCGGATTGACGTTACAAGAAGAAAAACTTTTACTATACTTTTTGACAAAGATGCATTCTCCATAAAAGCTTTTGCTTGTTCTAATTCGAAATTTCCCTACCGTTTCAGAGAAAATACAAACAAAAACGAAAATATGGTTGAACTTTTTCCAAGTCCTAAAAGTCAAAATGCGTCTCTACTGTAATAACATTTCGTTAGTTACAAAGTCTTCGTTACCTGTTATGAATAGGCACTAGGATCGTTATAAGTATAACAAACACACTTCGTAATGACATTGAATAAAAACCTCTTTATTCAATGGTAACAATGAAAAAGAATTGAATTTCCAAAGGTGTTTTCTTTGAAATGTCGGCGTTTTACCGTTAAGTGAAGGAATCAAGAGTTTTACTGAGGGCCCTTCCAAACAAGAAGCCCCTGTCGCCACTTGTGAACCAATTTTACGGCCTTAATTTTGAAAGTCCCCCATGCCAATAATTACGCGATTTTTACTTCATAGTTACGTTACAAGCGGTTCATTATTCTCCTCAAGTTATGTGCGGTAGAGAGCTAATTATAATTTTGTTAACCTAGCAGTCTCTAAGAAGCCGTGAATGACCTTGCGTTTGTGTTTTGTATCTTCTTGTCGTGTGGTTATGCAAATCAAATTGCATTTTTTTTAAAGCTCCCTCTGTGTTGTTTGGGACCCACTTAAAGAAAGTATAATGATTTAAATATTTGTATAGAAAACTGCTGTAGTTACGCTACTCATTGTTAGGTACCAGCACAGTCTAACGAAAAAAACGTTGTCCTTTACTATGGGTACTTCTCTTTTCAGGCAATCCCAGCCTTAACATGGGGAGCAACTGTCTACAAAAAAAAACTTTTTCCCATGTTAATTTCCTATGTTCGGTTTGGGAATATTCACCCGGTATAGTAAAGTCGAGTGTTCTCGAACGTTCGCGAACAGTCCAAAACAAAATATGTACGTCATATTTCCGGGAAAAATTACGTCACAGCCGCCTTCGCTCTTCATCGCCGATCTTTCATGGCGCCTCAATGTCTATGAAAATCTCTGGAATGTTTGTTGCTACAATACTGTTATGGATACGCATTCAATTTTTAAAAAAAAAAACAATATTTCCTTACCTCCAAGAAAAAAAACGGGAAAAAACGGTTTTTGCCCAACTATTGCTATAAATTTATGAAATATTAAGGTAAAGCAGATAACATTTTTAAAGAATCCTCACGTCGCCCAAAAACGTTGTGAACCACCGACGTTAAAAATCAGGCGGGCAAAGCATGGAAGGCATTTTGAATACTTTAGTTCTGAATATACAATTAGCCCTGTGATGTACCAGAAATATCAAAGCACGTTAAGTAGTCGCCAAAAATAGATTAAAACTGTTCACCTATATCACAGAGAAGAGTTATATTGAATTTTTACACATCTAAAGGTGGCCATAGACTTCGTTTTTTTTACACGGTTTTAACCGTACGGTTAAAACTGTACGGGTATAACCGAGCAACGTTATTGAACATACACTTCGTTCAAAATTCACCAGTTTTGCGCATACCGTGTAATGGAGAACATTAATTGTACATTAGCAGTGGCGTCAGCAATTGCTATAAAAGTGAAATCCCAAAATGTTAAAAGAAAACGTTCTAAATGGGCGAAAGAGTGGCTGCTCAAACGGAACCGATTTTCGCATGTTAATTTGTTGAATGAATTAAGGGTGGAACGCGGTGATTGGTTTAATTATTTTATTAATTATTATAGACATAAAGTCTATGATAAACTGTTTGGACCCGCTCATTTTTAAATAATGGTAAGTCACACCACACATTGGTACCTCATACGTCTATGGTTGGTACGCCAATGAATGAAACTGGCGACCAGTATATCCGTGATAGCCATACATTACACAGTTTTAACCGTACATTCCTAAACGGACGGTTTAAAATCAAGACTCGACAGATTAATTTGAACGCCTGCAAAAAGGACGTGTTTTGCCCCTACACTTCGGTTTTGTGACAGTTTAAACCGTACCGTTTTAACCGTACGGTTAAAACCGTGTAAAAAGAACGAAGTCTATGGCCACTTAGAGTCATAGGCGATAATCTAGCGAACTCGATACATGACCTAGAGAATGAAATATGTTGATTTCTATTATATTGCGATTTGCCCCCTCAGTTTTTCCTGTTCCCTATTCACTGAGTCCTATAACTTTTGTTCCTGTTCCAGAAAATCAATAGCGTCCGTCCTTAATATCTAAAGTACCCGTACACCAATCGTACACTTTTAAAAAGCGCACACGGACGGACGGACAGGCGACAATACAAAACTATAAAGGATCTGAGGATTGTCTGAAACAACGTGAACGTAGCGTGATACTTGCCCGGTTCAATTCTGCACTCTGAACTACAAAGCGTGTAAAGAAAACCAATTAGTCCATTCATTACTCATTACGTACTTGTTATGCCACGCTTAAATTCAATTTCTAATTTTTATGAACAAACTTTTTACAAAAGTAAAAGTTTGGCGATGTAATAATCGAATTTATAGTCAAGAGATTACCGAAAGTAATAAAAATGATTCGCGAATTAAGTGAATACCTGACGTAGAAAAGTTCAGTGTAGAGCAATAAAAGGAAACATTACGACCGGGTAATAAATTTTCAACGAAATGGTGCCGAGTTAAAATATTTTAACGGGCGTGACACGGTGAACGCCTTCTGTGGGAAAATTATTTGTTCCAAATTTGTTTATTTGGTGTGGTTATTCGCGCAGTGATAATAGGGGCAAATTGCACATTGAAAGTTTGAAAACGGAGGAAAATTGTTGCAAAACTCAAACCAACCGTAAACAAATAAGGCGAGTTTATGCTCACAAAAAATAAAAATAAGAATTTAAAAATAAGAAATAAGAATAAGAATTTAAAACCAGGGACGGACCTAGACAAGAAAATTGGGGGGGCAGACATGACATTTTGCCAACTCAACTGTAAAAATTTCCAACTCAAACGGGTAGTAGGTATCTAGGTATTAAGTATTAAGTGGTATTTCCAAGTCTAATAAATCATGTAGAAAATGTAGGATATCAGTATACGGTCTCTAATACTAATTAAAAGCATTACCAAAATACCAACCTTGTGTTGAAGAAGGAAGTGATTTTTCTATTAAAGAGTCTTTTTTTTATAGATTTTGCCGCAATTCCTCATTCCTTCAATGGTCGATTTATTACATTTACGATTTACTTTCGCGGCATTCGCCAACTGGTAATGAAAATTACCAACTCTTGTCAAAATTGCCAACTAGTTAAGTATTGGAGGGGAAGTCTGCCCCCCCCCCTTGTCCCCCCATAGGTCCGTCGTTGTTTAAAACTATACGTTTTCATCGAGGTTTTCATATAATCGTTTATACTGACAAAAACAATTAATTTAAACCAATACAACGAAGTATCGAAGATACCGACAAAAAACTCGTTAAACAAGTAAACCAAAACCAAGACTACGTGGGTAGTGCCACCGCAACACACTCACATACGCGGACGGACAACTACTTTTGAAGAAGATACGTTTATAATTTGAACGTGGATGGACTGGCAGACGGACGGATAGTGAGGACACGAGCACCGCTGTCCATGATGGGTTGCGCAAAGTAATAATAACGTTTAGCCTGTTTCCGAACAAAATTGGGAATAAATATCGATCTTTTGGCTAATAATACTTTGGTAATTAAAAATGCATATGGCCCACTTCGTGGACATCGAGCTATCGAGTTTAGTCTTTTCCCAAGAAAATCGGTGCACAAATATCAATTTTGACATTTTTAAGCAAAAATTTGTTCGGTGGTATCACAGATTAAAATACTCCAGATATATCACGCCATGTAAAAATATGCTGCGCGAAATTTGGATTTCACCGCCAAGTGTGTTAAATCCAAATTAACTTTCTAGTACAGTTTCAAACCCAAACATTAAAATTAAAGTTCATTCTTTGTTAGAAAGATTTCTGCAACGTTCCTACGAAATGGCAAAGCAGAAGAGAGAAGAAAAAATCTTTTATTTATATAACATAATACCTAAAGGTATAATGTTACACAGTCTGCGATAAAAGTTTATCATTTATTCTTTGTAGTGAGTGAACTCCACTTTATAGTACGACAATCTCACAAACAAGTTGTAGCTTTGTTTATTCATTTGCAAAGGTTGTAACTAGTAGAAAATTGAAAAATGTTAAACATAGCTAGGTAGGTTATTCCTAATGTCCTTAATGAGTTAATATCTGATATCTGTATAGGATGAAATAATATTATTTACTATAGGTACCTACCTAATCGTTATTTAATATGGATTTAAGGTTTTGAAAAATAAGTACGGTAAATGCTTGTTATTTCAAAAAATCCATACTGGCGTACGATCGTTTTAATATACGTTCAGATAGCTGGCTATCGCGCGATGGGCGATGAAATGCTGTGCGATGCGATGAATTCAAACCTCCAAACGTTTATTAAGACAACTATTTTATGCGATGCGATGCTACTTTGGGCGATGGTCTGAAATTCAAGCAAGTTTGATTGATCACCAGTCATTGCAAGCGAAGTAGACAGTGGCTTTATTAACGAGCCCTAGCGAGTTTATAATTTTGCGGTGTCTGTCCGTCCGTTAGCACGATATTTCGGTAACGAATGGGCCGATTACGATAAAATTTAGTAGATGGATTCTTTATCAAGTTTGTGGATCGGAGTTCGTGAATTGGCAATGTAGCCCAAAAAATAAGGGAGGCCATTTGACATCTCCGTGAGTTATGAACCGAATTGTATGAAATTCAATATGCGTATAGATTTAGCCATATAAAACGCAATTCCAAAAATTGAGCCTAATCGATCAACATTCACAATGCCCTTTTCGCATCTCAACCATTTATAAACTGAATTGCAAACTTTTTTATTTATGAAGGTATTTTAATGAAATTTGATACAGGGACACTTGGAATAAAAGCAAATTTAACGCCAGTTTTAAAATTTGGTTTTGCACATGCTACAGCCATACCCAGGAGCTCGTTTTCTATATTTGTTTATTTGATTCTCAATATAGGTAATTAAATGTGGTCCAAAGTCATTTGAAAATAGACTTATTTTACAACAACCGATATCAATTTCACAAAAAGGTGATAAAATTCACAAAATACCGTTCCTTTCATATTGATGTATTTACCAATTTACGTTTTTATACGGTTAAAGGTTGATTCTCACTATACATAACGTTTCCATACCATATCCATTCCATAACCATTCCGTAAATTATTATAGGGTACGAAATTGACCTTTAAGTGATATGTGCGTAAGACATTAAGTCGCGCGCTAATACACATTCGCCTTCCATATGTGAACGGAAAGGAGAGTGTGTATTAGCGCGCGGCTAAATGTCTTACGCACATATCACTTAAAGGTCAATTTCCTAGGTATAATAATTTACGGAATGGTTATGGAAAGGATATGGTATGGAAACGTTATGTATAGTGAGAATCAACCTTAATTTGGATTCTATATATATTTTATAGAGAACTTTCCGCCGGTAGTATGTGCCGTCTATTATATAAGTTTCGTTATTGTAATGTACATAGAACGGAGAGTGGAGACTAACCTGCGACTACTTTCGTAAATATGGAATATGGTACAAGAAATTCTTGCGATTAATTGCATCGCATGGCAACTTGTTAGAAAATGCAAGGATATTTGCTTGAGATTAATCGCATCGCATCTAAAAGTACCTCATCGCGCAATAGCGTCCTATCTGAACGTAGCTTAAGGCATATGTACGTCAACTTTTTGATAATTTTTAGTATTAGAAGAAATTATAGCTTATTGATTTTTAAGAATGCGAAGTTTAGCATGCGCTGTTTCTTTGACGTGCTGTGTAGATTGCCATTTACACCATTTGAAAATTTTTGTCCGAATCAATAATTGCAACAGATACTGCCTATGAGCACTACATTCGCCGACTTCTAAACTGAACTCTGGGAACTGTACACTAATTAACTTAGAAATACGTGAATATATATACAACCCTAATCCACTTCGCTCCGGTTTAAATCTTAAACACTTAGAAATTATTTTTAAGCTATGTTCAACTATGTCTACTAATACCGCACTTGGTGATCTTAAACCTACTGATGTCACTAATTTGTTATCATACATTTTTTTCACAATGAGTAATTGGTTCTTCTCATTTAACTGATCTTGTGATATCAACAGTTGTCCACAACCATTACACTTGTATTTATCAATACATTTTTTTGCTAAGTAACCTGCAAAATACACTGTTGCACAGTCCTCTAATGTCACTTCTTTTGGGGTAGAAGAAGTACTGCAACTGGAGGATATTGAAGATGACGAAGAGGACCTTTCATATTTTACGGATGCACAGTTTGCACTTCCTAAATCATCTACTTCCCCTTTTTCAACTAGTTTCGGAAATAACATCTCATCCTGGTCCTGCTCACAATTTGACGTTTCTGGAGGCTGCATAAGACGTGTCAACGTAATTATTCGTAAACTGGTTCTGAAGACTCTACTGGAGGGATTTCTGTTAAAACCACCTCTTTGTCTGATACAGGAGAAAAGGTTTTCCAATACGTCTTGATTTAATCGAGACGTGAGCAAAAAAGTTGTATCTTCTTCATTAAAGATACTAATAATCGAATTTATTGTCAAAATAAGACCATCTATAGAGGGAGGTTTCGAAACCTTACCCTTCCTATCAATTTTATGTAACGCACAGAGGACTTGTTTGGCTGTTTATCGTTTATAATGTAATCACCATTTAATAAATTATTTCGAAGACTTTTAATGAGATGAGGCACGTCATACACTACATAGATTTGCTGTCCTTCAAAAAAAAAGTATGGTTTCTCTTTTGATACCAAAAGTTGCTTAAAGGTGGACACATTTGTGGTTGCCTGATCGCATATTATTGCCTTTAATTGCAAGCCGCAGCTCTTAATTTTTATGATGGCGTCTTGAATTAGTGTTGTCAATTCTTTGGAGTTAGGACCTGTATGCGACAAAAAATATGCAATTGGCAACTTCCATTTCGAGTGTAGCCCTCTAAGCATAAATACCATTGCTTTTTTTGCTCTTTTATTCCTCCTGCCGAATGGTAACCCAAGATCTTCATATCCTTCTATGCAGTCTAATGATTTTGAATATTCAATGATACTCATGATGGACATTTCATCTAGACACAAAACACATTTTTTCTCAATACTGTCGAATGTTTGTGCCTTTAATTGCAGCTGATGAAAAAACTGCTTTGTAAAACCCGGCTTAAATACCGAAGCACCTATCCAACGCTTTATTGTGGCTAGAGAAGGTAATTTAAAACCTGCAAAATAAAATTCCATAGATAGTCGACATCATTCGAATAAATTTACCTTTTTGCAAAAATCCTCGATAAGTTGATGGTGAGCTGTAGTACAACCATATAGCAAATTCCTTTTCATTTTTATTCCAGGAAGTATTATTTTTGTGAAATAAATTCATGTCGACAAAGGTTTTCGGATCTTTTTTTAATAGACTATAGCTGTATTCTGCTGAATTTGAAGACAGGGCACTTAAAGTCGCATTCTTCTTTTTCAAAGATTTCTTTAGGCGAGACATGTCTGCTCTTTTTCTTGAGAGAAGTTTTCGTTGATTCGACAGGCAAAGTCGAAGTTTCTTCTCTTTTGGAGTATCATTTTTAAACTGCAGCTTTCTTTTCGCGTTTTTTTCCGGTGGAGAGGGAAGGGAAGATAGTGAGTTTAACCACACCGATGTATCTGGGCTGATATTTAGCGTTTCCATTGTGTCAAAGGATGTACTAGGTTGTGGTGAGGGCGATCTTAGCAATTCGTGTGGAAATTCTTTCTTTCTGGTGTAAACTTTCAATGGTTTATTCACATGTAAATGTTCCTCGAAATGTTCGGTGTCAAAATCGTATTTCATAGGCACTGTGCCTTTAATGAGCCTTTCATTGGAAGATTTTGTGAAGTCTTCCAATCGGAAATGTTTTTCACAGATTTTTTTATTTTTTAATGAATTCGGTGACAGTGGAATCAGATGTGTAGCCCCTGTAAAGACGTGCTTTTTTATCTATAGGGAAGATTTATTTGATGATTGTATATAACTGGGCCACCGTGAAGCTGGTCGCCAAAAATTGGCGATTCGAAAATGTATAATGTCAACTTGATGAGAGCTGAGAGCACCAAACAAATTCTGCATAAATCCCCAAAGATAAATGAATTACCTTCTTCAGAATTCAGTGTAGCAAAACTTGTTTGGATGATTCATGGTATCTCTCCCGTTTCTGGAAAATCCGATTCCAGAAAATCACAGCCGGTCAACTTCATCATAGTGTACCGAAATGATTTCGGAAAACCTCCGGCGATTAATATAAGTACCCTCTTCTAAATTTAATGTAGGTATCTCAAACCAGCAAAGCTCAATTTTTAACGGCCAACTTCATGGCAGCATTAATTGGTAATAGTTCATATTATGTATGATTTACAATAAATGATCAAATACTATCAATGAAACAAGAATGACTAACCAGCATTATTAATCCAAACGCGGCACAGGTTTTCATCCTTAAAAGGAAATCCATACATTTTAAGATTGGGTTCCACTCGTTTTGAAACACCACATTGAAAGTACTGACAAACATTTCCTGCTTTGGCCATTTTTATAATTAACACAAAAGTATCTAGGTATTTAAAACAATAATAATTGTAATTACGATAGACTATTTAAAAAAATTAAAACACAAAAATACGTCTTTATAAACAGAAAATGTGTCTGAACTGTTCAAGTGTTAAGCTTAAAGTGTCTTTTTTTATATTCCTTAACGGTTAAGTAATGCGATTCCCTTTAAACCTTAATTCAAAGTTCATATTCGGCATCCCACAATAAATGGTTACACAATGCAAAACAGTCCGTTGTAATCCGTATCCGTAAAAAAATAACGAGAAAATTTATTTGCGAATATCCTAACTTTCGTAATTATAATAGGTATGCACCTTACATGGGATATCCTGACCTACAGATAAAGTGTTTTGACGGAAATATGATATTCTTTTCTTTAAATCATTTTATATTACACATGCCTTCTCAAATGTATTACAGTACAGTTTCCAACCATTCGTTTACGATGAAAAAAGTGCATTTACGAGCTAAGCATTTGAACATTTTACGGTAGTAGCGCTAGCAGACGGATTTCTGTTCAGCGCAAGCATTTCGTATATCTCATGAGCCGTCTGTAGTATTTTGTCTGTGGTGGTATACAGGGTGCCTTGAATTGAGTAGGATAACCTACCTATCTTTGTTAATATTATACTTACAGATTGGATTAAATTCGCAAAGTTGTATAATTTTTGATACTGATGGATATTCCAGACCATTTTCAGTAGAGGAATTTTTTGCACTCGGCTCGGATTCGATAACCAGACTATATTCCGGCTCATATTCAATGGCACTAATTCTTGAACTCGTAGAAATCGATTAGCGAAGATTTGACATCGCTACCTCTTGTCGTTCTCGAGTTAGACGAGGAACAGGCCGACAAAACCATCGCATAAGTAAAATTTTTATCTTTCGAAAAATTCTCCTAAAATTTGAAACTTGACACACATGTGTAACTTGATATACTCTTTAGGAATGGTCATAAAAATTAGGGTCGCCATTTAGTCCATAACATCATATGTGAATTTCAGGACACGCTGTATAAAATGTTATTACATAAAAAATCACAATTTAAAACGCTCAGCAACAAAAAACGTTCTTTGATTTACTCGCACTGTATAATTATAATATAATAGCACACGCGATTCTCCGTTTTTCCAAGTTCTCTATCGAAGTGCACCTTAACGCGTTCAAAGAAACTTTCGTTCTAAATGTCAAGTATCTTTTTCGACTGTAAAATATAAAATCCTGTTCCCGTTCCCGTAGGAATTTCGGAAAGTGTTTTACTTTCGCGGGCATAGATCCAACTCGATCCAACCATTACCCAAAGTTTCATGGCAATCTGATGAACGGTTTAGACAGGAATAAGGGACCGACAGACAGACAAACATTCTTATTTATATAGATAATAGCAGAACCGACGAACGGTGTATCGCATATCCCGACGAATCTCGTACATAGGGATACATTACCTAACATTGGCATATACTTAATGCCATTACAGTGTGCACATTTTAAATCCTTTGAGGTTTTGTGAGTTAAGGATGCCGTTTCAAGAGATAAGTAGTAGTGATGTGTTGCAAAATCACACTGTACCCATTTTCAATATTTGAAAGTATTGCAGTAAATTAACATATGCCTACTTAACTTTGCTTTGTATAGTAGTTCGTTGTATAATCACACTGCGCACATTTTAAGTTTCAGAATATGTAGAAGATTTGTAGCAAAATTACAATGTGCACACTTTAAAGAATGTCTACTTACATTTAATTTCTCGTTCGTTGCATAATCCCACTGTGCACATTTTAATTCCTTTGAAGACTGCAATTTCAGAACATGAAGATTTACGCAAAATTGCAATGTGTGCACTATTGCGTATTTTTAAGCGGCAAGCGTTTATTGGTCTTTATTAATACGTGATTTACAGTTAATCGAAATCGCGAATAACCTATAAGTACCTATCACTTTTGAATTTTAAAGTTGTTCACGGTTGGTAAGATTTTGTTGCCATTATTCTCTCACTCCACAGCTATGTATGAAAGATATTTTACCTACATCTTTCACTGAATTTTGCACGTACACCTTGGATAACTCAGGCCAAGTTGCCGTTATGTATGCCGACTTTTCCAAGGCATTCGACTCCATAGACCATGCAATAGTGTTACATAAACTAAAATGCTTTGGTTCTAGTTGTCAATTAATATCATTTTTTCGTACTTATCTTAATGATCGTTTTCAGTTTGTTACATACAATGGTTTCAGCTCAAAAATGTTTGAAGTAACCTCAGGTGTGCCTCAAGGTTCAAATCTGGGCCCACTTATGTTTTTAATGTTTAATGTTGATGATCTCAAAATCTTTGCAAAAATAGCTTCCACCGATGATTGTTTACGTTTACAAACGAATATCAACAACTTAACTGCGTGGTGCTCATCAAATAAACTCAAGCTGAGTATAAATAAATGTAAGGTGTTGTCATTTACAAGAAAGAGAAAACCTATACTATATTAGTCTCTCATATAGAGACAGTTGGCCATAGTCGCATTAATACTATTAAAGATCTTGGCATCACATTTGATTTCCGTCTCAGCTTTAAGGAGCACATACATCTAATTTGCTCCTCAGCTATGAAAACTCTGGGCTTCATCATAAGGAATACTAAGCAGTTTAAAAACATCAACTTATTATTTCGTTTGTATAACTCCTTGGTTCGCTCGAAGCTTGAGTACTGCGACCTCGTATGGTACCCACTATACAAAATATCTAAAAACGACATTGAGAGTATCCAACGAAGATTTTTAAAATTCATTATTTTCAAAATTGATGGAGAATATCCACAACGTGCTGTTCCTCAGGACACGATGTTAGCACGTTATTCAATGGAACAGAGACGAGTCGCGAATAGCATTAAGTTCCTCTACAAACTAACCAACAGTCATTTAGATTGTCCCTACTTACTTCACAAGCTATCCTTTACCATTCCAACGCATTCTACTAGGTACTTAAAAACCTTCACATATCCTACTCCCAAATCCAATCTCCTTCGCAGAACTCCCTCCTTAATAATGTCCAGTAATTATTATAAGATTTGCCAGAACTGTGACATTCATTACAACGCATTAGGTATGCAATGTTTTAAGCTTTGTTTGTGGTTAACTGAAAATTGTAATTTTGGTTCATCATCCTTTTTTTTGCTTCATTTTCTTTACTTTATTTTTTTTTGTTAATTCTCTGTTTATCAATATTCTATTTTTAGTTTAGAACTTAATTGTCAAAGGTATTTATTTATTCCACTAGTTACAATTACTTACTGCAATATTTATATTGATTTTTATGTTTTCTATTTTAAATATTAGTTCCTACTATAGTTTTAATAATGCAGTATGCGCTTAACAATTCATTTATCTTTTTTTGCGATTTTCATATATGGATGTCTGTTGAACAACAATAAACATTATTATTATTATTATTATCAGTAAATGGTATAATTCCCTAGCTATAACAAACATAGACACACTTAATGTTTCTTTGACATATAATGAAAATGGGTCGACATAAGAAAAAATAAGTAAGTACTTTGTTTTTGGCTTTTTAAACCGGTTAGAACCAATGACCGGCTTTTTAAAAGTTCTACCTTACTGTAAGTGATAAAAATCTAAATTTGCAACACCCTTAAAATATACGGTTCCCTTTTTACATTACCTGAATCATGTCCCTTGCTCGTTCAATCTCGAAGTACTGATTGATTCAACTCTAGAAAAGAAAAATCGACACAAATTCATAGGTCTCGTATAATGAATAACACCTTTGATTGGCAATTCAAGTTACCATCACTCGAAATTAATTTTGATATTCAAACTCAGAAAACTGTTTTAGCTTGAGTAAAAAAATTTTTCCGAATATTAAAACGCGTATTTTGCCAGAATTATTGGGTGGTAACTCTAAAACCCGGAAACCCCGCAACCGCTATTCAAAACTGTACTGAAATAAGGAGTTTTTTCAATTTTGCCCGTATAGTGCAGTTGGCTTATTTTCTAAAATTACCCCGCTAACTTCACACAACTCAAGAAATATGTATAATTAGTCGCCATATCGGCATCGGCAAAAGAAAAATTAAATCGTTCGATTCCTACGTTTAGTTTAACGCTTGAGATTCTTGAAAAAAACACTATCGGAGACTGAAACACTTGAGGCACCTGGAACATTTTGAACAGTGTTCACTGCGTGTAACCATTTAGTCAATCGCTGATCATTCTTGATTGAGTAGAATGGATACAACCAGATTATAAATATACAAAGTTCAAAAATTATTTCTCAAAAAGGAAGCATATGTGTATAATAGTATATTGAAAGACAAGTGTTACAATGCGACCTATTGTAATACGACTATCTTGTGGCACGAGTGGCAACGCGAAGCGTAGCCACGAGTGTCCGCAAGATAGGAGTATTACAATAAAGCATTGTAACACGCGTTTTTCATACTATTTTTTTCTATTTCGGTGCTTTAATTTAATTAAAAAAATCATTATCAGAAACTATAGGGAACATTAGAACTAACATGTTTTATGTTGAGAACACTTTTTATGCCGTTAAGTTTTAGGTTGGCAGCGTAGTAAGAGTGACATTTTGAAGTTCAAACATGGAAGTACCCAACGAAGTACCTACTTGTACTAACTAGTAACTGCCAACTTAAGAGATAAGTTACCAAAAAAAAAACGACTATAATCACTGTCTTTGTACAACTGTTTTTGGCCGAAAACAGTTGTACAAAATCATCATTGTGACACCGAAATAGAAAAACTTTATTGTCGATATTTAAGGATTGATATATTAGATATGTATAAATTTAATATTCATATATGCATATTTAATTATCACCAAGTGAGTCACTGAGTTAACACGAAGTATGCAAAGCCTATTGCTGAAATATTATTGCTAACTTCATACGGATTTAGAAATCAGAGACACTACTGTACCTGTAGGCTGTAGGTATATTAAAATTTCATGATTTTTAAATTAAATACAAAATCCTTGGCTGGATCCTTAGTACATATATGTATAAATGGTTCCACATCATACTCTTACAATAAATTTTATAGAACAAAAACTGAATGTCGAATGTTGTAATTTAGTTATTCAGATATTTAAATCACTTAAAAATTGTTGAAATCATCTTGAATACTTGCGATCCTACCGAAATCTCTTAAAATCATATTTAGGTACATAATCTGAAATCCCACTAAAATTACGAGAAAATATATATCAATTGTAATACCTTAAAACTTCTTAAAAACACTTTGAAATTGCATGAAATCTCACTGGCATCATTTGGAATCTTG